GTGGCTCCGGCCACGTGGCGGGCCGTCAGTGGATGGCGCGGGGGAGCTCGATGTGGAGCGCATGCCCTGGCCATCCGTCGGGACCAGCTAGAGGATCAGACGGGCGTGGGGCTCGTGGGATCCGGCTTGTCTGCTCCCTTCCCGTGCTCCCATCCGTGCTCCCACTTTATCCTACGGCTGTCGTTTTTACCATTTCCTTTCTAATCTAATCATCTCCCCACTTTTTTTAAGGGGGTGGGGCCGGACCTTATTTTGTTCCAATCAAATCATGCCACGTATGCAGGAGCACGGATGGACGCAGGTGGAGGGAGCAGGCAAGTCTCGTCCGGGCTCGTGGGTGTAGGGAAGGGTCGGACACGTCGGGCTGGGATTGGTGCCGGATGGGTCGTCGACGTTGACGAGACGCCATGCGCTAGAAAGTTCGCCGCGGCTCAGTGGAGTGGATATAATTCGTTCTGGGGTGGACTCGTGGTGGGCCAAGGGCTGTGATGGGTGCGTTTGGGCTGGCCTGGTCGGTCGGTCAACGGGGTGTTGACTCGTCGCCGTGCATTGGACGGGAGCTCCTAGTCAGCGCTGCAGGCGCCCGTTAACGAGCTGGCGCCTGCAGCGTCGCTGGAATGGGCCGGGCCCACGCGCGCTTGTGTTCGCTGTTAAAGTGAAAAAGCAATAAAAAGTGAGGACGGCTGGGGATTCGACCTCAGGAACGGATTGTTGCGACTGCACCTCTCCAACCACTAGACCAAACTAACTTTGCTGTCTACTACAAGAAAACAGAGCTAGTTAACCGTTTCGTGCAGTAAAACATTAATATATACTCAATATAAATTTTCTCAAAAAAGAAAACGTGAATTCAAAAAAAATCATCAAATTTTATGAAAAGTTTCATAAAAATGAAAAAGGTTCATTGATTTTCAAAAAAAGTTCATGGAATTCGAAGAAAGTTCATCGGATTTGAAAAAAGTTCATCGAATTCAAAAAAAGTTCATCAGATTCGAAAAAAGTTCATCGTTTTTGAAAAAAGTTCATCGAAATAAAAAAAAGTTCATAGGTTTTGAAAAAAGTTCATCAAATTCTAAAAAAGTTCATCGAATTTGAAAAAAAGTTCATCAAATTCGAAAAAAGTTCATCGAATTTGAAAAAAAGTTCATCAAATTTTGGAGAAAGTTCATCAGATTTGAAAAAAGTTCATTAAATTTTTAAAAAAGTTCATCGATTTTGAAAACAGTTCATCAAATTCAAAAAAAGTTCATCAGATTCAAAAAAAGTTCATCGGATTTGAATAAAAGTTTATCGAATTTGAAAAAAAGTTCACAAATCTGAAAAAAGTTCATCAATTTGAAAAAAAAGTTCATTGAACTCGGAAGCAAATGGAACGAATAAATGACGTATAGATTAGAATGTTAGCACAGCTGCGCTTGTTGGCGGGTTGGTTAGAACAGGCAACCTTCAATTGGGAGTTCGCAGGTTCGAATCCATTCATGGCGCTCTTTTTTTTGCCTTTTAACAGAAAAGGTTGGAAAGCAAAAAAGGCCGAGCCCAAGTAGCCTCGCCCTTCAGGCGCCCGTTTGCTCGCGGGCGCATGAGCGCCGAATAGGATCTGCCGCGTTGGACAGAAATTTGCTGGGCTTTTCGGGCTGTCCGGGCTACCAGGATTGGTCCAGTCCAGCGAGAACCGTGCGTCTGTTTTCTTTTTCAAGAAACCATGCGTCTTTTCCCAAAAAAATTAAGTTTTTTTATTTTCTTTTTGAAGATAGTATAGACGCAAACACTCATACATACGCACACCCTATCCTTATGAGCATCTACGAGAGACCAAGCCGTCACATCATTTTAAGATTGATGAAGTCATCACAAACGCCTTCATAGTCGATGGAAAATCTCCTCCCACTCGGATGGCCTTTGTTTGAGCTTCTGCTATGGATTATGGGATTATACTCCTCTAAAAACTACGATCGTAAACAAAACAGCCTGTTACCCACCTTGGATTGTTAAGAATATTCTGAGGATTCTGAGAATAGTAAAGTACACTTGAGGTCATAAAAGTATTTAAAGTGTGTCAAGTAGGCCTTCAAAGTTTGAAATTGTTCACCGTGAGTCCTAGATGTTTGTAATTTGTTCACCGCCGGTCCTAAAAGTATCCCAAGTGTGTCAAGTAGGTCTTAAATTCACGGATAAACACACACGTATAGAACCCGTGGTGAAAGATTTCAAACTTTAGGACCTGCTTGACACACTTGGAATACTCTTAGGACCGCCGGTGTATTTTACTCTTCTGAAAATTGCACTATGAGGCAGCAAGAACCAGAAGCTGCAGTTTATGTGATTCCCGAGCATCCGCATATCCAACTTCTAGACTACCCAAATTTTTCGCCGTTATTACAGACGAAATGCCACCCTCCCAACAGATATTACAACACCATAGTATTCTTCTCCTAGGCCCTTCCGGCGGCTACACCAGCGCCATCTTGGCTACTGGGCACGCGGGTCCGCCTTGGGTCACCTCCACCTCTGCCCGAACTCCACCCAACCTGTGTTACCCGCCGCCCCCAAGCTCCACCCAAGCCGCCGGATCTGAGCGCCTTCGACCACCACGGTCTGTCCCTCCCCTACCTCCAGGTTGTTACCCGCTGCTCCCGAACTTTGACTACACCGCCATCTCTGAGCTCCCCCTACGCCTCATGGAAGGTCCAGCTGGGCTGTCACCACATCCACATGTGCGGCGCTGGAGGTCTAGTCGCACGGCCCCAAACTCAACTAGCGGATGCGCCAAAGAGATTCATGATTTGGCCAGTAGCATAAAAGATCTATTTGTTCATTTGCAAACTCAACTTTGAGAGACATTATAGACATTTCAAAACATTTACGGTTCCTACAGATGTCTAGTAGTAGAGTAAACAAACAACCAACTTCTGATTTTTCCGAATCCACGGCCACAAACTGATTTCGAGGAATCCACAGGTAAAGTGATTTTTGGGAATCTGTAGCTCAAACAAGGAGGCCTGAATGCACGTCATCAAAGGGCATGAAATAAATCAAGGAAAATACGAGCACCAATGTCAAGTATAGGATTTGAAGACTGTGAGGATCACATTGTCCTCCTAACCATCCAACCACAGAGTGGTTCACATTAAGTTTCAAATTGCCGGCCTCACACACAAGGGAGCACTCTACTAGGCCAGCCCATCACTGCAATGCAGTTGCTTGGCTGTTGCAGTGGCCCTTCTTTAAGGGTTTTTTTCCATTCAGTTTATCGGAAAACATGAAATGTTGTTACTTTTTTTAGAACACAAACAATTTTAGAAAAGAGCAAAAATAACTGATTTGAATATTTTCTGAAATACGAACATTAACATTTTTTCAAACAATTGAACATTTTTTAAACAAAAACTTCAAATTTATAAACATAGTTTGAAAAACATGAATTTTTTTCAAAATGCCAAACAATCCTGTATTCTGAATAAATTTTTAAAACGGGACATTTTTTGACTTGTGAATTAATTTTGAAAAATTGATCACTTTTGGTAATCCCGAACAATATTTGAAAACACAATTATTTTTTGAAGATACTGAACATTTTCTTGAAAACACAAACACCTTTTGGAATTTACAAACATTTTTTCCTTAAAAAGGGAACTTTTAAATTAGAAACAAAAAACCTATTAAAGAAACAACAGGAATAGAAAAAAGAAAAACGGGACCTGAACGGCTGGCCCAGGTTGATCGCACCTGTGCAACGCGACGACTACTTGATGCAGTATGCGCCATATAGCATTTGCCGTGAAGTAATGCTCCAGGGATAGAGCTACAACTTGCAGTTGCAGTTTCAGAAGATGGAATGTTTCTGGCACTCATTTACCCAGGAATCAAATAACGAAGCATCCAACAAAAACGTGTGATTGAATCCGGTTGAGATCATGAAAGAACCAACAGATCCGTTTCGAAAGAAAATATATGAAAGAACCAACAAATCCGTTTTGAAAAAAATAAATATGAAAGAACCAACAAGCAGCCCAAAGTTTGGATAGAACCTGATTATTACAGATAATTAGTGACACTTTGTACTGCTGGTTTACATTTTCTACACGGATGCAGTTTTTGTTTTCCTTTCTGTTTTTTGATTGAGAAAAAGGGACGATCATTCCCTCCTGACCACAGATTTCCATTATAGAAACCGTGTCCGCTGCATCATCTACTCCGGCCCACTGGCAAATGCTCCCTCCGTTCCCAAATAATTGTCTTTCTAGCCATCTCAAATGGACTACAACATACGGATGTATGTAGACATGCTTTAGAGTGTAGATTCACTCATTTTGCTCCGTATGTAGTTACTTGTTGAAATCTCTAGAAAAACAATTATTTAGGAACGGAGGGAGTAGATGACAGATTTCCATTTTATTTGGTATATGGGAGTATATAATATAACAAACAGAAATGCAACATCAGCACGACGGAAACAGATTGCCAAGACAGCAAACTGCAGCTACGGTGGAATCACTTCGTTGGGATTCATTAACGTGCTTTGCACTCGACACATGCCGCATTCCGCAGTTCCCAAACAAACCAGAAGAGCAATGCAATCCCCGGGGAAATTGAATCCCTGTGCTTCCCAACAAAATTTGGCCCCCATATACCAAATAGTTCATCTCCATTTCTAGGCACAGTTAATTCCGAATGAAAAGGCGACTCTCCATGCGGCCGCAGAAAGATCTTAATTTTGCGAGGAATTTTACAGGGATGCAACATCAAAGCAATACAAACATTAGAGTTTAAACAGTTAAACTACTTCACCCATGACACAGCTAGTGAAAATCCAAATCAGTGTCAATAATAATTTCGGCGGTACATAGAAAAAGGCAGAAGATGAGATTACATGCATAGGGGTACTTCACCAGCCGCAGTAAGACTGGAACCGAAGTGGAGTAACAACTTCAACGCACACAACTAGAATGGAGTTGCAGATGCTGAATTCCAGGAGAAGAAACTTGCAGATTGTTGACCTCCTACATTGGGCGGATTTCGATGGTCTCATCATTGGAATCATCATCCACATTCAGCTGTACGTGGTCAGCAGTACTAGCCTCCACAGTTTCATCAGCTTCCATGGACGGCTTTGGATTATTATTATCTATAAAAGAGGAATATTTAGTTAGGAGCAGGATGTGGGTCAGAAACTCACCACCATTGCTCAGCTGCCTGGCGTGGAATCCCTCTGCTGCATTGGTTGCTGCGTAGCACAACATCTCCATCCACACCGTTCTGATTATCGCCATCTTATATGTGAGCCCCAACTCCACATCGAGCAATGTGTGGGCAAGGGTGGATGCTTTCACCAGCACAGCATCCCCCGGGTGAGCATCCCAACTGGGATGCGTCAAGTCACCATATAGATCTTCTATATATTTAAGACGCTGCGTCATCGTCAAGCCATCATATGGTTCGTCCTCAAGATGCTTGCCCCCTTTATTGTAATCCAGAATTACATGGTGAAAATCAACCACATTACTTCTCTTCCAGCCTAACCTATGCATACCCAAACCGTAACAGAGGCAGGTTTCCTCAAACATGTCCTTAGCAGCCGGTTTCATGCGCAGAATGTCAGGATGCTTGACGAGGAGGTACATCATGTAATGAGACAGAGTATTAACTTCTTCAGCCATGTCCTTGTCGACCAGCTTCGATTTGACGGCGGGGTTACTGAGGAAGGTGCTTGTAGCTATATGCCAGATAACCACACTCTTCTGAAATTCGAAACTCATGCTCCAATCGAGCTGTTTGATCCGGTCGTCGATGCCCCTGAACCTACGAGCCCAGTTCCCACTTCGCATGTCCGCCTCTTCAATTTCAACCATATGAGTCTTGTCACCTTTGAGCAAGCCCCATACGAACTCCTTCGCGGCAGGTGAAAGCTTGGCATGTTTGGTGCAGCGAGCTTTGTCCCACAAGTCCTTGACCCCAATCAAACGGGCTATTGTTCCCTTGAGGCCCCTCTTGCTGCTGTGAACACAGAAGGATATGAAGTCAAATTGCCCGACGGAATTGGACCACCTTCCATCCTTGACGACGACGAGGTGGTAACGTGCAAACAGAACTGCATTGGCCAGCCACTTACATCTGTAGCGTCTCAAGATGTCATATGTCCAGGTTGACCCAATCGCCTTTAAAACAGATGTGACCTCCAGTGCGCAAGCTCCGCCCAGAAGAGCAAAAGTGATAACAATGTTGGGTGTGCTGTATCCATCTCTCTTGCTTCTTGTGAAGACCACAAGAGCGGTGAAGCAACACACAAGTGAAATGGCACGGATCCAGTGGCCACGGCTTTTGTGGATCACTTCTGCCTTGGTGTAGAGCATGTCATACATCAGGCCGAGCTGCACCTCTATTCCCTTGTACAGCTCCCCAACAGTCCTCTGCTCCTTTGCCAATGCATCTTCGCTCTCGTCGTCTTGCCATGGAAATCCTTGTACAAGACCCTTTACAAGAGCAGTTGTTTTATAATTCCAGTCTATGGACGCCTCATTCCTGTCTATGATTAAAGGCTTGACAAGTACATGGCGCAACTCGTGTGCTGTCATCACAATAAATTCATATGCTCTAAATTGTTTGTTTTTGGTGAAGCAGTCTCCACCTTTTTGGTCATCCCCCTCACGAGAAAAGGTCTTGGGGGAAAAATAGGCATAAATCCTCAGGAGAAAAGGTGTACGTCGCCTTGGGGGGTGGCGCCGCCAGAGTTCATTGTCCTCCAAGGCATACGCAGTGATGGTGTCCTGGCCGCCGAGGTGCAGCAGGAGGAATGGCGCCCAGAACGCCACTAGCTGGTGCTCGCTAGACGATTTCTTCGACACTGACGAGGACATGTGACCCAGGCCATATGTTGCAACGACATCAGCAAACAGATATACAAACCAGAGGAGGACCTTGAGAATAGAAGAGACGGTGTAGCGGCGGATCCCAGCAAAGAAAAAGAGGAGAACCTGCAGACTGAAGCTGGCGACAACAACAGTTTGGATCTCCCACTCATTCCACAGCTCCATCCAAGATTGCATCAGTGTTCCACCCATTGGTACGCCAACCTACAAGCAAGAACTAAATATAAGCATATATGCATACATATATATTCGAAATATGTCACAAGTTTGGAGAAATAGTAGTATGTATGTATGTATGTATTGTATGTATGTATCAATGAATGAATGCGTACCTGTGGATGAGCTACGTTACCCAGCATGATATGAAGGTTGATTCGGCTTACGGCAGCAAGCTATGTCGCAGAACCGCAACGAAATTGCTAGCTCCTGGAGTGAGAGCTCAAGAGAGGTAGTACTACAAGAAGAATGAACGGATCGCGTGTATGAATATACCTATATCAAACCAGTCAGATGCAGCTACTCCGTTCCGAGTCACCATACGGCCGAGTGACCCATTATTTTTCTTTATGCTGCGGGGATGCCGAGTGACCCATTATTTTTCTTTTTGGCAGGGATTTCGAGTAGCTAGTGGCCGGCTGCACAGGTAAGATAATGTCTTCTTTTGCCAAAGAGCTCAGTCTCCCACGCGAGCACGCAGCGTGCTGCTGCATCCGACAACAAGTGCGCGGGTTCCAACACTTGTCCATTACACGAGGAACGTACATGCTGGCTCGCTTTTGCCATTCAAATGAGACAGAAGACAAGTGCGGGACAACATGTGACCACGTGATCGACCACTTCTCTCTCAAGACCCACGCTCACATGTGTTTTCTTTTGATGTTGGATTTATTTTTTCTGAAGATGAAATTCCAAAAGTTTTGAAATTTTTGAAATTTTGGAAGTTTCACATTTCTCAAACTTGCCTTCTTCTGGAAGTTCAAATTTCTAAAAGTTCCAAGTTTTCAAAAGTTTTGAACTAAAACTTTTCCAGTGCAACTAGGAGATAAGTCTAAGTTGCATTTTTCGGAATCAACTTGGGCATAAGAAAATCTCCTAAAACCACTGTAGGCTTTTTTTTTGTCCCGCCAAAATAAGTTTTGTACATCTTTGAACTATCAAAATTTTACCTCATTAAATTGTATGGATGTTTTCTTTCTCTGAGTTACTTTATGTGAGAACTGCTGGAGATTTGGTTAGCTTTACAGTCTTGTTTTGATTTAGAGCACCAATGCAGAAAAAAGATGGTGCAGTTTTTATGTAAAAACACTAGGAATTTCGTGTGACAAACATAAAAAGAGAAATTTCTAGGCAGATTTTATCTAAAAAGCGCTAGGCATGTGAAAGTTATTACAGCTTGAGTGTGCAATTTTTTCTTTGTACGTTATGTATGGAGTGACTGTATTTGAGAAAAAAAAGTCAAAAACCAAACAACCTAGAGACAACCCAAAGTGCCATGCAGGGCTGTTTAAATTGTTTGCATCTTACCCTCTCATGGGTCTAAAATTTACGATATGCTCATTGTCGTGGTCGACATGTACGTATGATCCATCATATTCCAGTAGAAACAAGATAACAAAGGTGACATACAAGAATGAAAATAGAGGACATCTACACATGACAGATGAGTTCAATTTGTTTCAAAAAGGGATCTCGATCCTACTGATACATCCATATTCTATGGCGTGTAAGTTTTTTTTCTTTTCTTTTGAGGGGTTCGATGGTGCGCAAGTTGATTGAGATGCTCAATCATGAAGAAAAATGGATAAAGAAAATTCATCCATCAAAAGTCGGGTTTTTAAATGTTAGCATTAAAGATAAGACATCAAAAGTCGGGCTGTGTCAGGTGTGCATATATACTACTCCTACTACGTACTCCAACTATTTCTAACGGCAACTTGATTATGGACTGTGGGTGTGGAATGTGATATGCATTGTCTCCATCTGAAGCCCATGAGATGAGAGGGTTGAAGATAAGACATGTTAGTGATAGATACTCCCACCTGTGTGCGCAGAGCAGCTAGCAGCGGTTGATAATAACAAACCTAGCAGATTTTAGCTTCTTGGAGTAGTAGTATTGTTTTCGGCAAAGAATTAAGTTTATTTTTGCACCTGTGCGCAGAGCATCTAGCAGCGGTCGATATTGTTTGTTCTGTATCTTGGCTGGTTCACCTGAATTCAGACATGAGGCACGGGTTGCCAAAAAAAGAAGAAGACATGAGCCACAAAACATTAGGCTTCAGAGTATAGAACCTTTACATACTTTATATATATGCATATATATTACACAGCTACTATCTTAAATCAAAATCTTACCAGTATTGGAATCCTACAATGCACGTAATACTGTAATACTGGATCATGCATGCACACTGGCAGAGTGCCATGTTTTCTTGCTTTTGCTACCGCAGGTTGCTTCTTTGACTGCTCCGTCGATGGCCGGTTCAGTTAATAGATAAGAAGAACATCTTCACCCTGGGTTAGTTCAAGCGATTCAAGAAAAAATTCAACAAGTTTTTCCTTGAATCAGCCAACCACAGGACGAACTTCAAGAATCTGCATCCAAAATCTCAATGATTGGAAGTATTGTGACTAACAAATAATCTGACATACAGCCTGGTGATTGTGTATAATTCTCACCTTGCTCCCATGTACAAGTCTACCACAAGCATAATCTTTCAAAATGTTGTCACATGTTGACGAACTGTTTTATAGTTGTAGGAACAATATAAAGATGAAATGCGTGTTGAGCAAACATTTTCTCGGTAAACATTGTCTATGTGAAAGGGGATATGGAACTCTTACATATAGACCTACGTGCGGTGCAACGTTTCAGTAATACACAGACATGCATGGTTTTTTATTTTCCATCCTACACCGTATATGTGCTTGGTTCTCTCACTAAGATTTTTGAACACTGGCGAGCCAGCAAGGTGAGCAATCTGAAGGTCCGAAGTGCTGCTCCATATGGCATAAATGGGATCTAAAGATTTACGTACATGTCAACGCCACCGAGCAAATGCAAGAACCCCCTTTACTGGTTGGGAAAGATGGTCTTCCTTATCCTATCACTGAAAGCAACTGAACAAATAGTTGTGTGAAACAATAGGATTATAACACATGATTGCAACAAGGGAAAGCAATGCAACATGGTCACAGTAGGAGACAACTATGAGCTATAATATTTACAAAATCAGATGGCAAAATTCACTGACAGTAAATCGCACATACATCAAGAGTTCATATATACCTCATCAGACATTACTGCATTTGCATGACTGTCCATGATCTGAAAAAAAGTCTATCATAGTTCAGGAAGAATGCCAATCAGATGTTAAACCTAAGCATGACCACTCTATATTGAATAACAGGCATATCAACTTTATATTGGATAGGCATCACAATGTCACAGAAGACCTTCTGTGATTGAGAAAGTTTTATTACCTGATTGTCAAAAAGAACATCCAGTCGAGTGCTGAACGTCAAAGATAGGGCAGAAACGACCAGATTCGTGCCTCCTATCCGGCTGGCGTGACCGAACCAATTATCGCGCCAGCCGCACGCACTCGCTCGCCGCCAGTCCAGAGGCCATAGGGTGCGCCCGTCTTAGCCAGCTCACGCGTGAGGCTAGTCGACCAGGACGCAGAGTGGTCTGGTCTGCCTGGGAGCATAGAGGTTTTGTTTGGCTGAACTTGCGCCGGTTCGCGCCTGGCCTAGCTGGGCAAGGTAGGCTTGTTCTTTTGGTAGTTAAAGCCATTTTTAAGAAAGGCATGTATGGTTCTTTTAGTACCGAGGTTTTTTGTCACTTATGCGTCCCGGTCCAAAAAAACCCGAACGAAAACAAATCGACATGCGCACGAGGCAGTTGCGGGTGGTTATGTCCTTTGCAAGTGTTACAGCGGAGAGCACCACCACTATATCTTCTTCCTCTCATCGTATCGAAATATCCAGTGCACCTGAACACAATAATAACCGGCGAGCAAACAACCCGTCCATAGACCATTACCAGCTGAGTATGGTTGTTGTTAGAGGGTGTTTGTTTCCAGGGACTTATTGGCTTAGGGACTTAAAAGAGTCCCTATAAGTCCCATCTAAACCAAACAAGAGGGACTTATAGGGACTTAAAGTGGGCATTTGGGACTTATGAAATAAGACTCTCAAGGAGGGACTTATAGGGACTTATAGTTGTAATATGGTCTTATAGGGACTTATAAGTCCCAGGAACCAAACAGGCAGGGACTTTTTAGGGACTTGGGACTTATAAGTTGGGACTAAAAAAAAGTCCTAGGACTTATGAACCAAACAGGGCCTTAGTGCGAACAGAAAGCCTTTTAAATCCACAGAGATGTTAGATATGGGAGAAATTTTGCAGGGGTGTAGTATGAAAGCAATATAAACATTAGAGCTTGTGAAAGCCAAATTAGTATTATACTAATAATTCCGGTGGAACTTACAGATTGGCAAAGATGAGATTACATACTTCACCAGCCGCAGTAGGACTGAAATCAAAAGAGGAGTACCAGATTTAGCGCAATAACCATGTACGAGAAAATGGAATTACAGATACTGGATTAGAGGAGAACAGCCTTGCAGATTGTTGACTCGCTCTGTCAGTCAGCGGATTTCAGTGATCTCATCTTTGCAATCATCGTCCACATTCATCTTGACGTGGCCAGCATGAACAGTTTCATCACCTGCTTTGGACGGTTTTACAATCATGGGTTCGAGCGGCCTTGGTTTCTTGTTATTAGGAGAAGAAGAATATTCAATGAGAACCAAGATGTGGGTCAGAAACTCGCCACCATTGCTCAGCTGCCTGGCGTGGAATCCCCCGGATGCATTGGTTGCTGCGTAGCACAACATCTCCGTCCACACGCTTCCAATTATTACCATCTTATGTGTGAGCTCCAACTCCATGTCGAGCATTATCTGAGCAAGTACGCCTGCTTTCTCCAGAACAACATTGCCCTGCTTTGATTCCAAATCAAGCTGCGTCGTCTCCTGATCCTGATATAGTTTTGTTATCTTCTCCAAAGGCCCTTTATTGTAATAATGCAGAAATAGCCGATGCCAACCCACACTGTATCTGACCGGTTTGAATAGACGTCCACGGTAAGTGGTGCTGGTTTCCTCAAACAGGTTTGGAGCATCTGCTCTGATGGGCAGAATATCACGGTGTTCAATGAGGAGGTACATCATGTAATCAGAGAGAGTATTGACTACTTCAGCCATGTCCTGTTGACCAGCTTCTTGACATCAGGGTTCTCGAGGAAGGTGTTTGTGGCTATATGCCAGATGAGCAGGCTATTCTCAAATTCAAAAC